GTGCACCGCTGCTGCTGCCCACGATTGCTACGGGAAAGCAGGCCGCCCTGTCGTACGCCACGCACCGGGGCGACTCGCTGGCGCTGGCCGAGCAGCGCAACAAGCTGCTGGCGCGCGCCTCGGACGCGTTCAGGCGCGGCGACTTTGCGGCGGCCAAGAAGTGGAGCCGCGAGGCGGCCGAGATGAACGAGCGCTTCCAGGACCAGTCTCGCGGTGCGGCCCGCGACATCCTGCGCGAGCGGATGAATGCGCTGCGCACCCGGCTCACCGACCCCGTCGAGGCCGGCCCGAGCGTCACGGCCAACCAGAGCGACGAGCCGGGTGCGCGCGGCATGCGGGGCAAGGTCGTGGGCAACGGCCTCGGCGTCTGCCTCGGCGTGGTGAAGCCGGCCGCGCTGCAGGCGTCGATGCCCTCGGCGATGGCGTCCCACCTTTCGGTCGACGAGCGGACCGAGTGCTTCCTCGACCTCCACGGCCTGCACTCGCAGGAGGCGGTCGAGCTGGTAGAAGAGTTCCTGCTCGGGCTCGAGTCCGAGGGACTGCAGGGGCTCGCCTACCTCGCCATCGGCCGCGAGAGGCACAGCAGCAAGGAGACCGACAAGCGTCGCGTCAAGGTGGCCGGCTTTGTCAAGCAATTCCTCAGCGGCTACAGCTATCCCTTTGCCGAGTGGGACGGCGTCCTCGTCGTCGACCACTGCACTCACGTCTAGCAGCCCGGCAGCAGGCTTGGCGAGATGAAGGAGAGGACAGCAGGCGCGGGACACTCGAGGCGGCAGAGGTGGTGGGTTGGAAACAATGGCGAGCGGGCGGGCGCGGTTGCTTGCGCCAATGAGCGTCGCGGCGGGTACCCAGGCGGTCGCTGCGGGGGTATGCCGACCGACACGCAGGCTTTTCCACATACGCGCAGACCTGAGATGGACCCATTGCGTCGGGCTGGGGCTTCGTCGTCGTCGTCGTCGTCGTCGTCGCGGCAGCGGCCACTAGGGATCAAGGGAAAGGTGTCGAGGGGTTTGAGACGGACGGGTGGCAGGCGTAGGTTATGCGAGGACAGCAATGGACACTCTGCGAAACAGATGCGATCCAGAGGAGGCGCCCGAGGAGCGCTCGGATGCGGCCTGACCTCGTTCGTGTGTGTCGACAGCGTCCGTCCGTGCTGACGCTGCCCGCGGCGAGCTGAGCTGGCTGCGAGGTTCTGGCTGACGGCAGAGCGATGGCGGGAAGAGGCAAAGTCGCCGAGGCCAGCCGGGTTGGCAGGTCAGGGTTCACTCTGCTGCTGCACCTCAAAAGCAAGCAAAAAAGAGGAGGGCATCTCGGCTGGATAACGGCTTTCTTCTCGCCACCACCACCACCATCATCCCTCCTCCCTCCTTTTCGGGGACCTGCCTACTCGACTGACGCACGGAGCGCGGCGTCACCCTCACCGAGACGCCAGAGGCTTGAATGGCATCCGGAGCGCGCCTGCCGCTATCGCTGCCACCATCGCCGCTGCGCGCTCTCCGCCCCCGCCTCCCCTGGGCTCGACCCTCGCCTGACTCATCGACAGACCTTGGCGGCCTCTCCCGACACCCGCCTGATACACGTCGATCCAGCTCCACGCTTCCGGAACGCATCAACATCCGCAGGCTCAGACACACGATGGACGTCCACGAGCGGTACCAGTCGTGGTCCAAGCAGAACCTCGTGCAGCGCATCGCTGAGCTCGAGGCACAGGCCCTGCAGCACAAGGGCCCGTCGCCCGCTCCTTCTGCCGGCTCAGCTGTTCCTCAGGCTCAGGATGGAGGGCAAGAGCAGGACGGGCACGGCGCGGCGGCGGCGGCGCCTTCCACGTCGAAAAAGCGCGTGAGGCCGGGCAAGAAGGACAAGGTGGCTCGCGAGTTCGACATCTCCAACCACCCGTGCCGCAAGATTGCGCTGCGCTTCTCTTACGAAGGCAGCGGCTACAGCGGACTGGCCGCCCAGAACGGCCCACAGGGCGCTGCGTCGCCCCTCCCGACCGTCGAGGCGGTGCTGTGGGAGGCGCTCGCCACCGCCCGGCTGGTCGACCCAAAGGCCAGCATGGAGGCCGCCGGCTGGACCCGCTGCGGGCGCACGGATAGGGGCGTGTCGGCTGCCGGGCAGGTCGTGTCGTTCTGGATTAGGAGCAAAAAGGTCGACGAGTGGCCTCTGCGGCGGCAGCAGGAGAGGGAGCGGGAGGAGGCGCTCGCACGCCGGGCCGGCCAGCTCCCCTCGGACGGTGCGACGAAAGTGGACAGTGTTGCGACACCGTCGTCCGAAGCGGCCGACCCTGCACAGTCTGAGCCATCACCTGCCCGCGGCGCCGTCAAGCTCGAGTCCGAGGAGCTGCCCTACGTGGCGATGCTCAACCGGATACTGCCTCCCTCGATCCGGGTGCAGGCTTGGTCGCCAGTGCGGCCCGACTTCTCCGCCCGCTTCGACTGCACCTACCGGCACTACAAGTACTTCTTCACCGCCGGGCCCTCGTCGCTCCTGTTCCCCGCCACCGAGCGAGGCGCCGACGAGGCGAGGGCCAAGCGCCTCGACATTGCCGCGATGCGGGGTGCCGCCCGCCGCCTGCTCGGGGAGCACGACTTCCGCAACTTGTGCAAGATCGACGCCTCCAAGCAGATCACAAACTACCGCAGGAGGATCGACGGCGTCGACATCGACCTCGTCTCGCGCGGCTGGCCCTCGGCTTCGACCGGGCGGCCGTCGGACGCCGATGTCGGCGAGCACGACGAGCCGCTCTACGTCCTCAACCTGCGCGGTACCGCATTCCTCTACCACCAGGTCCGTAACATCATGGCCGTCCTCTTCCTCGTCGGCGCCAGGCTCGAGCGGCCGGAGGTGGTCGACGAGCTGATGAACGTCGAGCGCGGTCAGATCGCCCGCGACCGGATCCAGATGAGGGCGGCCGCGCTCAAGGGCGTCCGGCAGACGGCCAACTCTGCTGAACCTTCGGCGGGCCCGTCGCAAGGCCGGGGCGGTGACGAGGCGGAAGACGCAGCGAGCAAGTGGTGGCTGCCCTTCCGTGCCACTGCGTCCGCGGGTGAGAATAAAGAGTGGGGGCGGCCACAGTGGATGGACACGGCACTATCGTGGACCGACGACTCTTCCGCCAACGACGACGACGACGACGACGACGCGCTGGCTGTCTACGACACCAAGCCGAACTACGAAATGGCCTCGGACCGGCCTCTGGTGCTGTGGGAGTGCGGCTTCCTGCCCAGCGATATTGGCTGGCGCGCCGGCACCTTTGACGGGCCGCTGATGGAGCGCGATGACCACGAGGACGACGACGAGAGCAACAACAGCAACAAGCTCACGGCCGCCGCGGAAGGACAGGGCGACGGCGGCGACGAGGAGAGCGCTCGGATAGCATCGTCGACGGTTCAGGGCTTGCACGAGCTGTGGACGCAGATGTCGATCAAGGCCGAGCTACAGCGCCACTTTATCCTGGCCTCGGCCTCGCCGCGGACGGGCAGGCTGGCGTGCCGCACCGAGTTTGAGAGCGGACGGTGGCCCGTGTTTGACGAGGGGCGCTCGATTGGCGTCGAACGGGCGCAGTCGGACTCGGTGGCGCCGGCGGCGACGACGGCGACGACGGCGACGACGAGGAAGCAAGGCTACATCCCGCTCGGGTACGGCATCGAGCGAGGCGCGCTGAGGTACATCCCGCTCGACAAGCGTACCAGGGAAGAGGGCTTCGAGGAGAAGAACCGGCGCTGGCTCGATACGACGGGCAAGCGGAGGGCGGAGCGCGAGCAGACCAAGGCGGCGGACCCGGCCACCCCCGTCGACGACGACGAGTGATACGATGGTGCTGCGAGCGCAATAGAAGTACAGCCGACATCACGTCTCGCCGCTGCTGCATACAACGAGACCCCTTTGCTGTGAATCGACGTTGAGCTCGACGACGACGGGGGCAGCGGCGACGACGACGACGAAGATGCTGACTAAGCGTGGCCGGGTGGAGGAAGAAGCCAGCTGCGAGCAGGGGAGCCAGGACCCAGGCCAAACGAAAAATGTTGGCGGCGCTCTGCCAGGGGAGTCGGGGCAGGGCTGGCTCTCTCTCGTCTGCCGGCCAGCCCGCCTCCCTCTCGCCGCCACCACCACCACCCCACCGTGACTTTATCGAATCTCACCACCCTGCACCCCTCTACCAATCCCGCTCGCCGACATGCTGTCGAGATCATCGGCAGCCGCATCGCGAGCCGCGGCATCCTCCCGCGCCGTCGCTCTCTCGGCGGGCGCCAGTCGGGCGGGCCACGCGCAGAGGATCGTACCAGCATGCCCTAGCTGCTCGAGGACGCTGAGCTCGACACGGCCCGCACCGCTGCCGAGGCAGGTCAGCCGCCAGCTGCTTGCCGGCGGAAGCGCAGCCTCTAGGCAGAAGCAGCTGGCGCAACAGGAACGCGACGAGGACGAGCCGGAGCACTTTGCGCCCTCCTCGAGCCGCCCGGCCTCGGCGGTCCCCGGAGAGGAGACCGACATCCCTTGGTTCATGGAGGAGGAGCAGGTCGACCCGGCAGAGTACCGCACCGAGCTCGAAGACGTCGCTGCGACAGAGACCTCCAAGACGCTCGAGGCGAGGCAGAGCGAGCATTTCGAGTTTATCCCAGAATCGGCGGCCGACGACATCCCCGCCGCCATCCTCAACCTCCAGGACCACCTCCTCCACGGCCCCGCCTCCAACCTGCTCGCCCGTCCGCCAGCCGCCGACGAGGACCTGCCCTCACCCATCACCTTCATCCACCCTTACTCCCTCTCCGCCGACCCCAGCAACGATGCGTACGGCAGGACCGACTACGTCGTCATCGTCCAGGTCAAAAGCTCAGCGGCAGGCAGCGTCCGCAAGGTCGCTCAGGACGTCGGCAACTTCCTCAAGCGCCAGCCGCCTCCGCCCGTGGAGCCGCAGACTGCTGTCGCACTCGATGACCTGCTCGGTCCGGACCGCGGCAAGGAGCGCTACCAGCGCACGTCCGAGTCCGATACCGCGGCCGACGCCGCCAAGACGCCAGCCACGCCCAGGCCCAAGGGTATGTCGCGCATCGAGCACGAGCTAGGCAAGAAGCTCCCGGACTGGGCCGTCCACCGCATCGCTCTCTCGCGCAAGTTTCCGGACGGCTGGAAGCCGCCCAAGATTCTCTCGAGGGAGGCCCAGGACGGCCTGCGCCTACTTCACCGATCCGACCCGGACAAGTTCAGCATCGAGGAACTGGCCTCGCGCTTCCGCATCTCGACGGAGAGCGTGCGGCGCATCCTCAGGGGCGGCAAGTGGAACGTCTCGAACGAGACGAGGGCGAGGCAGGATCAGCGGGCAAAGGAGCGCATCGCCAACAGCATCTACGGCCGCCCGGAACGATGGGGACGCGAGGAGAGCGAGCTTGCCGAGATCCGGCGGTTGCAGGAGGAAGGCAGCGAGCTGGTGCAGGACGGCGAGAGCCCGGTCATCGAGAACGATGGCGAGGCCGAGCCGGACGCTGGCGAGATGCAGGCTGCCGGCCACGACGATGCCAAGCGCCCAAGCTACCCGGTCCGGTATGAGGGCCTCGTTGTTGCCGCCGGAGATGCTGCGGCTGCCGGCATGACAGCAAAGGGGCCGAGCAAGAGCAGCCACGTCTCGCGCGGAGACGGGCACTGGTGCCTCGTCGACGCCGAGTGGTGCATGGTCCACGTCATGACTGAGCAGGCCCGCTTCCGGTACGACATCGAGGGCATGTGGCGCGAGCTCGAGGCCGACAAGGACGCCACGTCCCGCCTGCCGGCCGGGCACTCGCTCACCTCGGATGCCGTCACGAGCACCGCCCGCAGCAAGAAGTCGATCTTTGGCCAGAACCTCAATGCGCGGCGCGGGTCCGCGAGGTCCAAGGCCAACGGCGGCACCGGCAGCAGCACCTTCCGCACCTTTTCCACCAGCTGCCGCATTCGCGCCAAGGAGTCGAGCACGGTCTCGACCTCAACGGCGGGGTCGCGGGAACGCCTGGATCTGCCAGAATCGCTCGACCAGCTCGTGACGAGGTGCAGCCGGGCCCTCCTCGCGAGCTCTGAGCCAGCAACGGCCGCCGGTAGCAGCGAGGGCATCCCCGTCGTTGCCCAGGGCTGGCTGCGTTCCGCGAGAAAGCAGAAGTCGGTCACGTTCCTCGAAGTGACGGACGGAACGCTGGTCGGCAGCCGAGCGCTGCAGGCCGTCATCCGCCACGGCAAGGACAAGCACGTCGCCGAGGCATCTTCGGCGCACCCTGACCTGTCGCACCTGACGACGGGCGCCGCGCTCCGGCTCGAGGGCCTGCTGAAAAAAGGCCGGGGCTCGAAGAAGGGCCAGGAGGTTGAGCTGGACGTCAAGAGCTTCGAAGTGCTGGGATCGTGCGATGCTGTGAGCTTCTAGAGATGATCGCCGGCCCCGAGGACCTGTTCCCGCACCTTCCTCTCTCCCCCTCTTGTACAACAGCGTCCTTCTGACACAGCTCTCTTTCTCGTCTGTCTTGCAATCGCTGGGCCGGTTCGATGGCGCGCTTGGCAGACCTACCCGCTCGCCATCCAGCAGCAGCAGCAGCAGAGCGGCAGCGGTCCCAAGCAGCAGCGAGCGCAGCCGGACGACGAAGATGCCGAATCGAGCGCAGCTGGCGGTGCCTTTCAGGCGAGCCAGGCGGAGCGGAGATCGCCTCACCTGCGCAGCCGGTTGCCGCGGCACGGCGCCGTGTTGAGGACGCGGCAGCGGCTCGAGAGCGGCATGGCCGACTGGTTCGAGGTGGGTTCCCGCCCCGATACCCCACTGGTGCCGACGACCGCCTGCCGACGGTGACATCGTGCTGACTCTGGTGCCTGTCTTACACTCGGTCCCCACCAGCGCCACGACTTTACCAAGGTCACTTGCCCCGTCCTCACCTCGTCCGACTGCGAAGGAGCAGGCGAGGTGTTCCAGGTCGTCGCCGAGTCCGATGTCCGCTCCCTCTCGTCCTCGTCGCCGTCGTCGTCCTCGCCCGCGTCCGCCCCGTCGCCGGCAGGGCTTGTCTCGACTTCGCTGCAGCAACGGCTGTCGTCGTTCTGGTCGTCGGCACCGGCCTACCTGACGGTGTCGTCGCAGCTGCACCTCGAGGCCATCGGTCTGGGCCTGTCGCGGGTGTGGACGATGAACCCGGCCTTCCGGGCCGAGGGGAGCGCGACCAATCGGCACCTGGCCGAGTTCTGGATGCTCGAGGCCGAACTGTACTGGACCACGCTGGGCGCCGACGAGGGCAACGCGGCGGCCCTCGGACGGCTGATGGACTGCTGCGAGGGCGTCATCAAGGCCGGCATCCGCCGGGCGCTCGAGGGCAGCGAAAGGGCCCAGGAGGACATGGAGCTCCTCGCCCCACCCGCTCCGCCTCCGAGCGACGGAGGTGGACGAGCGGCGAGCGAGGGACACGTCGAGATGCTGCGGCGCATCCTCTTGCAGCCGAGCTGGAAGCGGCTCAGCTACACGGACGCCATCGAGCTTCTGCGCAGGCACCACCACTCGCAGCCGGGCACCGGCGAGAATGGCGGCGTGTTCGCCTTTGAACCCAGGTGGGGCGAGGGGCTGGCGTCGGAGCACGAGCGGTACCTCGCCTCCCCCCTTGCGTTTGACGGGCCGGTCTTTGTTACCGACTTTCCTCGGTCGATCAAGGCGTTTTACATGCGCGCCAACGACGATGCGGATGCGCAGCCGCAGCAGCAGCAGGAAGAGGCGGCGCGACGCGAGGGGACGGTGGCGTGCTTTGACCTGCTCATCCCCAAGGTGGGCGAGCTGGTGGGCGGCAGCCTGCGCGAGGAGCGTCGAGAGGTGCTCGAGTCGCGCGCGGCGGGCGGCGACGTCTCGGCGCTGCGGTGGTACACCGACGACCTGCGGCGGTACGGCGGCGCTCCGCACGGCGGCTTTGGCCTGGGCATGGAGCGCCTCGTCGCCTGGGTGTCCAACACGGAAAACGTCCGCGACGTCAACACGTTTGCGAGGACGAAGGGACCCGTGCGGTTTTGAAGGCGCGACGGCGGCGGCGGCACGTCATCCATCCCGTAGACGACATGGAGGTGAAAGACGACAATCGTAGACGCTCAAACCATCGAGATCCGCTTCGAAGGGGCCACGATAAGGACGGCATGGCCGATGCAGATGACCCAACCCGATGTATCCCTTGTGACGCTCGCGGCGAGAGCCGGGACGCGCGCCAGCGACGCAGACGAAGAGCTCATCGTAGGCGCTGCCTGCCATGCTGTGGCGCACCTGGACCTGTCATGCTGCCATGTGCGAGGGCCGTCCGATGGCTCCCTTGCCTGTCCATGGCTAGCCTACTTGAGCATTTAGATTTTTAGGCTCGAGGTTCGTGGCGGCTTCTATTTCGAGGACATCCTCCAACCGCCGGCACCAGCGCGCCTCGAGCCTCTGCCTGGCGGTGCGGTGCGGTGCGGTGCGGGTTCGATGGAAGACGCCGAACTGACGGATCCTATCGACTGGCTCTCGATGTCCATGTCCTGCCGGCCTGATCCCGAGCGGGCACCTCCTTGCACTCGGACCCACCTCATCAGGCCGGGAAGGGCCACCCGCAGGCTATGCACGTTTCGACGAGCTGGCCAGCCGGCCGGCCGATGGCGCCGTTCCCCTGCAGAGAAGAGAGGATGCACCCTGCGTAACCAGCTAGCTAACTCATGTACTTAGCCTGCCGGCCTCCGTCTTCGTCCTCATCTCCCTGCCGCCAGCTCCCGACGTCGAGCGCGCAGCCATCGCATCGCATCATGTCGCTCCGGCATCTGCCTGCCTGCCTGCCAGCCCGTCGGTCTGGCTCCGCCCTTTGCGCTTCCTGACTCGAGCGCCATCTGCCTTGCCTGCCTTTCCCTATTCGAGGCCGCGCCGCTCCTGCCGTTCTGCGTGCGCCCACCTCGCCGTCCTTCATGCGATAGCTCTACCTTCGAACCGGACACTCCATGGCCAGGCGGACCATTCGCCGTCAACCCACCGCCCGGAAGGATGCAGGAGCTACCCGTATTCATACGCGCTCTAGGATCCGCTCCCGGCACCCCCGGCATCGGAGGCCCGAGTTCTACACATACGCCTGCTGCCGCTGTCATACGGGTCAATGGCACAGTAGCTCGCCGCTACTGACTGTAGCTGATGAACCAAGGTGCTAGAGGTCGACCTGCCCCCTTTCGAGCTCGTTAGCGTCCAGCGGGCAGAGGTCATTACTCAACTTGGCGCACACGCCGACATCCCTCCCGTCAACGCGCCAGCGCCAAGCTTCAGCCAGCAGCATGCCTTCGTGCCCGCCCGCACCGCCTTGGTCGCTCCCTCGACGATAAGGACTCGTCGGTTTGGAAGCCGCTCATCAAGGATGCGGGGCCAGCGGGTCCAAGGGACCACCATCCATCTCCCCCTCCCTCGCCCCGAGACCATCGACCCGCTCGCTGCGACCGCGGACCGCCCTTCCTTCGCCCTTCAGAAGCATACCATCCCGAACAGCCTGTCCTCGACCCACCATTCTTACATCAATCTCGAGCCTCGGGCTGCTTGGACACACAAAGACGGTCCTCGCTCCGTCCAACCCTCTTTCATCACCGCGAGCGACGCCTCATCTTCCATCCTAGCCCTGCGCCGCCGCCGCCGTGCGCACGGAAAGCGAGGCGCCCCATCCGCATTCGCATCCGCATCGCATCCCATTGCATCATTATTGGGCCGCCAGCGTCTCGCTCCGCACCGCCCAGACCATGAACAGCCGTGAAGCACAGAGGGCGCCACACAATGGACCCCCGCCCGGACAACCGGACTACTGCCGCCTAGCTCGGGACGAGTCGCGACACAGCCTCGAGCGCCCGGGCTCGCCCGTCGACGCCAGCTTCGTCCGTGCCCGCTCGGCAGGCTATATAGGCCAGGACGGCCAGGACGGCAGCTGCGTGCCCGTCGACGCAGATCACCACGAATCTGCCTCCTCTTTCCACGGCAACGACGGCGATATCACGATGCTCAACCTCGACCGCTTCCAGAGCAGGGCCTCGACCCTCATCGACAGGCCTTACGTGCTCACCGGCCAGTCCGGGGACGCGCCGGACGACGAGCCCCGGCATCACAAGCTCGACATGCCGACACCGGGTCCGTCGGGCGGCGCAACACCGACCACGGCGGCCGCCGACGACGGGCAGCTTCTGTACATAGCCAAGGGCGACAAGAAGTTCCAGCCGCCGTGGTTCCTGCTTGGGCCATCGGTCGCTGTGCTGCTCCTCACGGCGGGGCTGGCGACGATTATGGTCGTCTGGATCCAGACGCACCGGCTGCCGCTCGAGAGCGAGGGCGTCATCTTTGTGCGCGAGGGCGTCGAGGACGAGCCGGACCGACCATATACCAACCCGTCGATCGGGCGCGACAACGAGCTGCGCTTCAACACCCAGATTGCGCACAGCACGGGCCTCAGCTTCTCGACGGTCATTTCGACGGTTGCCGGCGCCTCCATCTACCCGTACATGGCGCTGATCGCCTACAGCCTGGCCACCGACTGGCTCATCCTCCAGGCGCGCGTCGCCGAGAGCCCTTCGGCGGCGCTGCGCGAGAAGCTGCCGACGCCGATGCAGTACGCGCTGCTCCTCCAGCTCTGCAGCAGCCAGTCGCTCGAAGCCGTGTGGAACACGCTGCGCCACATCTTCCTCGATCGCGGCTCGCGCGCCACCGTGCCCGGCCTGCTGAAAAAGGCCGTCACCTGGCTGATTGTGCTCCTTCTCGTCAACACGGCCATCGCCTGGACCGACTTCTGGCTCCACGAGACGGTCAAGATTGTCCAGATCGTCCACGTCGATCCGCAATCCGAGATGCGCGGGTACGGCACGGCGCTCAACACCACCCTCTGTCCCGAGTTGGAGCTGTCGCAGGGGCCCGACGCTGCGGCGCCGCTGCCCTGCCTGGTCAGCATCGACCCGACGACGGGGCAGCCCACGTTTGCCGAGGGTCCGGATCTCGAGTCGCTGCAGGTCAGATCCGAAGGGTCGCTGACCTTTGAAGGCCTCTCGACGACGCACGCCGTCGACGACCTGAGCCTGCCCGAGCAGACGTCGCGCCTGGATCGACTGCGCATGCGCTTCTCGCCGAGTGCGGTGGCCAAGAACGACTCGCTGGTCTTTGCGACGGCGCCAGGCATCGATGGCGGCCAGATCTTCCACATGCCCACCATCGGCCTCGAGACCGAGTGCCAGATGATTGCCACGTCCTGCGCCCACGACCCGACCTCGTTCGACTGCACCAACGCCGGCTATCCAGAAATTCGCAGCGAGCTGGGCTTGGACCTCGCCGCGCGGTTGCAGCTGGTCACGCTCGCCGACCGGTCCCAAAGCGCGGCCGACGGCTCTACTCATGTCGCCTTCAAGCCGGCCAACCCGATCCGGGTGGGCGTGGTGACGAGCTACATGGACTCGAACACGAGCGACGTCGCGGGCACCGGCTTCGAGACGATGCAGCAATCGCAGCAAGGCGGCGGCGGTGGCAGCGTTCACTTTGTCTACTCGATCGCCGTCTGCAGCCTGAGCTTCTACGAGCTCGACGTCGACTTCTTCAACTCCACCTTTAGCCTGCGCGGCGACCGACGGCTGGCTCCCGACTCGCTGGCGTTCCAGCTGTCGGGCCCGCTCGTCTCTGGGCGCGTGGGGCGCACGCTGGGCTCGGCGCTGTCGGCCGTGACGGGGCGGCTCGAGGGCGAGCACTTTGCGGCTGAGCTCGGGTACACGCTGGGCTACGCGCTGCTGTCGGAGGCGTCGGGCCTGCTGGCGCCCGTCGATGTGGCCGTGCTGCAGTCGGAGCGCGTGCTGGCGAGCCAGTACCCGGTCGTGGCCCTCTACTTCTACTTTGGGCTGCTCTACTCGTATGCGCTCGTGGCGCTGATCCTGTTTGCGTGGGCGTGGAGCTCGTCGTCGGACTCGGTGGCCTACGACTGCCCGCGGACGGGGAGGCGCGTCGAGATGCCCGCCGCCACGCTGGCGCAGCGCGTCCTCATGGACCCGGGCCGCCTGATTGCGAGCCACCTGGGCGGCAACCAGACGCACGCCCACGGCGCCACGCTCGCATCGGTCGCCACGATGCTCGCCCACGCCGCGCCGGGTGTCGGGGGCACCAACAGCGAAAAGGCCGGCATCCAAGACTCGGCGACGTCGACGGGCGTGCAGGCGGGGATCCTGCCGCTGAACCGTCAAGCCGTTTTGCGGACGACGGCGACGGACATGTTGGATCTGTTCGACGAACCGGTGCACCAGGAGCGCCTCGTCATTGGCCTCGAGACGGGCGGTCGAGGCTTTGGCGTTTGGCCCGTGTCGCAGGCGACCGGAGCCGTGGGCCAGGCTGGTGGTGGCGGTGGGCGGAGCGGCAAGCGCGACAGCCTGATCCGCGCCTCGAACCTGTTGCACCACCCGCTCCAGAACCACCAACAGCATTGCGACCAGCCTGTTTGCAATCGCGATCAGGACCAGGACTTTGCGCCGGCTGGTGGCCGTTACCGCTGACCCGAGGGCCGGCGATGATGGACGTCGCTTCCTCTCTCGTCTGCTCTCTCTCTCTCTTTCTCGATTCTGTCTACTCGATATACCACACCGCACCTTCTTTTGCGTACGCTTCGTTCTGTACCATACCATAGGCATCCCCCTTGCTGCCATGAAAGCCAGATAGAGGGTCACCCCGATGCTTGCAGTCGCGCGCGTTGGTCAGTGGTGGGGGAAGGGGCGGGGGAGCCAATCAGGAGCGGCGCATTTTGCGGGCGGCTGAGCGTGGGCTAGCTGGTTTGCCTCCACTCGAGCCGGCTGGCACCGGCAGACAGTCGAGCCGGTTGAAAGGTGGCAGCGGGCAGCCAAACAGCGGGCGCCTTTGCTCGCTCGCTCGCCTGGCTGCCTGGCTGCCTGCCTGGCTGCCTGCGCCCAGATCGGCGGCTCGCTTGGTGCGGGGGAGGGCACAGAGAGAGAGAGGCAGAGTGGCAGCACGACCTCGTTGACGCTCCCGCCACCACCACCACCACCACCACCACCACCACCACCACCACCACCAACACCAACACCACCATCCTCCTACCCAGCCTCTTGAGCCTGTCGCTCCTCGTCGCCGTCTGCATCCACCACCACCACCACCACCACCGTCCGGCCCCTCGATCGCCCGACATCTCTGGCATCCGATTCGCACTCGACACGTTTCCCTTGCAGCCCCTACCGCGCAGCGCCACACCCGCCACCGCCACCACTGTCAACATGGCCAAGTCTGTCGATGCCAACGAGCTCAAGCAGCACAAGTCTGGTGAGCAGGCGCGATGAGGATGGCGAGACGGTACCCGATGCCCCGCGAGGGCATGAACTGGACCAAAGTCGACGGATGCTGATTGCGCCCCCTCATCCTCTTTCCCCCTCTGCTGCCACCGCCTGCTGTCACCGCCAGACGAGTCGGCCTGGGTCGTCGTCGACGGCAAGGTGTACGACGTGACCGACTTCCTCGACGACGTGAGCACCGCAGCGGCGACCACCTGTCCCCGCCCCCGGGCCCATGACCGACACCGACTGCTGACCCATGCCATCCTCTCATCCGCCCATATCCCTCGCCTTGCCGTTCGCCCCGCCGCGCAGCACCCCGGTGGCAAAAAGATTCTGCTCAAGAACTGCGGCAAGGACGCCAGCGAGGCCTTCTGGACGTACCACAGCGAGAAGATTCTGGAAAAGGTGGCAAAGGACATGGAGATTGGCGAGTTCAAGGACTCGGCCAAGCTCTAGCGTCCCGTCCCAGCTGCCCTCTGTAGACGCGGCGTGCGTTGTTCAATCTTGCCTGCCTTGTTGCCTGTTTGCGTGCCTCGACGCCTTTGTGTGTTTGCCACCCGTGCCTTTGGCTTGCTCCTTTGGCCGTTGCGTGCGGTGTGAGCCCGGCTGGCGTGGTTTGGACGCCTGTGTGTTGGTGGACGAGGTGCGCCTGTCGAGGTGGCCCACGGTTGCTGCTGGCCCGTCGGGTTGAGCCACGGTGTCCGGCTCGGAACGGCGGCGGGGCCCTACTTAGGGCGGTCGGTGGCTGAGGCAAGCGTGTTGAGACGTGGATGCATCGAGCGGCAGGCGGGGCAGGCGGGCAGGTTGGGCAGGCCAGGCCAGGCCAGGCCAAGCCTCGCCTGTGGCAGGCGTACGTGCGTGTTGGTCTCTGTCGCCCGGCTCTCTCTTGTCAGCAGGGGGAAGGCCCCACCCAGCCTGGCACACGATGGCGGGCCACCCACCCACCTTTGGGAAAAAGAAAAAGACACACAGAGAGCCGCTGGCCTGGCCTGGCTGGGCCTCCACTCGACGTCAGAGGGAGGCCAGGCCAACCAACGGCCTTGGTTGCGCGTGGCTTTGAGCAGCCTCCGTTCATCCCATCAACCACGATTCCTTTCCCCGCTACTTCTGGTCCTTTTTTCTCTACGCCACTCCGCCGCTCGCCACCGTCACCCTCGTCGCTGCGACCGCTGCTCAGCTGCTGCTCAAGGATGCTTCCCTAGCCGGCCCTCGATTCTCTCGACAAGGATACACCTTCCTGCGGTCACCGCTGGCCCGTCCCTCTCATCGCTCCTTTGTCCCACGCCACGCCACGCCTCGCCTGTCGCCAGCGCACTCCACGACTGCTTCACTTGCACGCTTCCGCCTGCATATCCCTTCCCTAGCCCCTTGCGAACCGGCATTCAGCGGCATCGGCCGCAAAGCGCTCGGCGCTCATGTCGTCCACGACGCTCCCCGGCCACAATGCCGCCCTAGCCTCGCTCAGGGCGCTGCCGGCAAAGCTGGTGCAGCCCCCCTACCGCTTCCTCGTCCTCGCAGGACTCGGCACCGCATCGCTCCTCCTGGCACAGCGCCACACCCACTCCATCTGGTCCATCTTTGCCTCCATACTCGGCCGCCTCAATGACAAATCAAGCAGCAACATCAACGACAACGGCAACCGCAAAAACGACGCCACAGATGCCACCTCGTCGTCTCCCCCCTCACAGCCCGCCCGCGACCCAGCGAGGCCCCAAAAGGGCAGGATCGCAGACAAGTACTCGGTCAAGGAGGACGCTGACCCCGTAGCCATCTTCTGGGACGTCGACAACTGCTCGCCGCCTACCGGCTCCTCGGGCAGGGCCGTCGCCCAGGCAATCCGCTCCTCTATGCAGAACCTCGAGCTCGGCCCCATTGTCAGTTTCAAGGCCTACCTCGAGCTCTCCAGCGAAACCCTCGCGCCCAACGCGCAGCAGGTCCAGCTCCGCAGCGAGCTCCAGGGAAGCGGCGTCAGCCTCATCGACACCCCAAAGAGCGGCCGCAAGGACGTGGCCGACAAGATGATGATCACCGACCTCCTCGCCTTTGCCATCGACCAGCCCGCACCCGCCACCATTGTCCTCATCTCGGGCGACCGCGACTTTGCCTACCCGCTCGGCCTCTTGCGCAACCGCGGCTATGAAATCGTCCTCATCACGCCCCCCGTCGGCGCCGTCCCCATCCTCGAGGCCTCGGCCAACGTCGTCCTCACCTGGCGCCAGGACGTGCTCGGCATGGAACGAGCCTCCAATGGGCGGCCCTACGCCTCGGCCAACGGGCCGGGCACCCCGAGCAAGTCGTCGCACGCGTATCACACCAAGTCCACCTCGTACAACAACAGCGACAATGCTGGTGCCGCCGTCTTCCTTGCCGCCGCCGCCGGCGGCGCTGCCTCGTCATCTCCGCCCGGCAACTACGCCTCACTCTCCCAAGGACGACCCTCTAGCGCCCCGACCCGCTCGACCAGGCGTCCCTCGGTCCAGAGCACCGAAGTTTTCCAGCCCCTCATTGGTCTGCTGGAACAGCTCAGGAAGGAGGGCAACTCGAAACCGCTCCGCGCCGTCGTCGCTGCCCGACTCATCGCGACCGACCGCGGCATCTTTGTCCGCGCCGGCGCGTCGCGCTGGGCCGAGTACGCCGCCGTCGCCGAGGCGGCCGGCATCATCAAGCTCGGAACCTCGGGTCCTCCCGGCACCGAGTGGGTGTCGCTCTCGGATCAGGCGCCGCCCGCATCGGTGCCTGCGCACATGCGCACCCTCGATGCCCACACCAACGCTTCCCAGTCCTCGCCCGTCCCCAACCGACTCAAGCCGCAGCCGAGCCTGCCGTCGATGCAACCGAACGGCACTCCCGCCCCTGCTGGCGCTTCCCCGACCGCCCCCATCGACATCCGCGCCTTCTATCCGCTGATCGAGGTGTGCAAGGAGCAAAAGGCCCAGGGCCACCCGCGCGCCCTGTGCTCGTACGTCGGCACGCAGCTCAACATCATGGCCAAGCGCGGCATCGTCGACGCCTACGCCATGGCCGGGGTATCGTCGTGGCGCGAGTATATCGCCGCCGCCGAGCGAGCCGGCGTGGCGCGCGTGGCCCCTTCGGGCACCGAGGGCGTCTACGTAGTCGAGCTGCACCCCAAGTACCTCTACTCGCAGACCAACCAGGTCACGCCCAGCGTCAACCGCATGGTCGACACGGCCACGACGCCGACGCCCAGCTTTGAAAAGAAGACGCCCAGCAAAAAGGCCGCCCAGCTGATCAACAGCTTCAACTTTGCGGCCAAATCTTCGCCCGCGGCCAAGGACGTGCAGCCTTCGGGCACCACGCTCTTCAACGGCCACACGATCGCCGCCCGCTTCGCCGGCCTGGCGCAGGTGCTCCTCGAGCAGATGAGCGAAGGGCGCAACTACTCGACCGACTACTTCCTGCACTCGGTCCTCGGCTCGACGCGCGCTGTGAATGGCATCAGGCTCAAGGAGGCCGGCGAGTTCCAGGCCTACCTTGCCGACGCCGCATCAGATGCCATTGTCATGCTCGAACCGGGCTTCAAACCTACAGTCAAGCACGTGCGCCTACACCCGCGACTCGCTGCTCCGGGTCCTGCGATGATGGCCTCGGCCAGCTCGGCCGATCACCTTGCCAATGGCGGTGACAGCAGCAGCAGCGGCATGCGGCGCGAGCCCTCGGCCAACGGCAAGGCTGTCAGGGACCCGGAGACGGCCGAGAAGCAAAAGAAGGCGCAGGACACGCTCGAGCAGCTCTCTGCGGAGCAAAAAAGAGCGGCCGAGTCGGTGCGCACCTCGTCGGGGCCGGTGCCGGCCAACGAGCGGCTGCGCTTCCAGATCCTCGTCGATGTGCTGGGCGAGCTGCGCAGCAACGAGGGGCTCAACAAGGTGCCCAAGGCGCGCGCCTCGTCCGAGGTCGTCAAGCGCAACCCGGGCCCCGGCGGGATGGGCGTCTTCTATCAGGCGCTCGGCTCGACGGGATTCACCGACTATGTCGACCAGGCCAGGAGGGCCGGATTCGTCGTCATCGTGGCCGGAAGTGAGGGCGACGAGAGGCAGATTGACATGCACGGAGACTGGCAGAGGGACGGAGACTACTGCATCCGCCTGGCCTCGAGCTGAGTCGATCCCAGGGCGAGCGATGCGGCGGCGGCCAAAGCAGAGCCACGCCGCGCCGCGCCATCGCCCGTCACAATCTCGCCGCAGCAGGCGGTGCAGCCCCTAGCGTGAACCGCATTCCATCGTTATCTTTGTGAACGTAGCAGCTGGTGCGGCAGCTTTGAATTTCAAGCGGTCTGGGCTCGACTGTCTCGAGAGTGGATCTTGGTGGCAGGCCAAAGCAGGGCAGGTCGAGGTGGTGTGCCAAGGCGTCTCGTGATCGGCGCAGATCGGGTCCGCCAGGCTCTGGCAGCAGCGGCGCGGGGGACTCGGGTCGGTCTGGCCGGCTTGGAAATTTGGGCTTTTCCCACTTTCCACGCTCGCTCAGCCGGCGAGAAGAACGGGCCCTCTGGTGGATCTGCAGCTCCACGCCAGACGTTCAACACTCTAGTCTCTTTGCCACCACCACCACCACCGCCACCGTCGCCCAGCCCCCTCTCATCCGGCCTTCCTACTGATACCTTGGCGCCGCTTTTTCTCGCCCTCGCCACACACTGCCTGCCACCATGTCTAGGCCCAACATGTCGGCCATCCGCGCCGCCTCGGCCCGAAGCGGACGCCACCTCTCCACCCTCACCGCACCGGCACGCTACGCTCGTCCATCTCCCACCGCCGTCGCTGCCACCGCCGCCAACGCCTCCTCCCTACACACACAGGCACGCACTGCACGGACACCGCCTATGACGCAGCGCCACCTGCAGCGGGGCTTCCACAGCTCGCCGCGCCGCTCCAACACGCCCAAGTCGCCCTTCCAGGCGTTCGTCGACACGCTGCGCGAGGAGCTGAAAAAGAACCAGGAGATGCAGGAGAACATGCGCCAGCTCCAGGGCGACGTCGGAAAGATGCAGGACAGCGAGACGATGAAAAAGATGCGCGAGGCCTACGAGCGCGCCCGCATCATCACCTCGATCAAGGAGAACCCGCGGCTCCAAAAGGCCGCCGATGCGCTGCGCAAGAGCGGAGGTCAGGTCGGCGACGCCGTCGGCGCCACGCTCCGGCAGATGGAGGACAGCGAGCTGATCAAGGGCGTGAGTGACGTCCCCACACTCCCCTCTCCTTCTTCCATGTCTCTGAACGGACGACGGGCACCCTCGTGCGCAGTGGCGGATGAGCTGACGTTCGACTGCGTACCCTTTCCTCTTTCGTTCCTATCGTGCTCTGCCTCCTGCACAGCTTGGAGCCATCTCGTCGCGCATCTCTCGCCAGCTCGAGGAGTCGACAGCGCCCATCCGCAACACGCAGGCCTACCGCGACCTCTCCCAGACGCTCGTCGATGCCTTTGATGACGGCGGATCGGCGCTGCGCATCTATGCCTCGGCCGATGCCGATGCCGCCACGGTGCGAAGAATCAAGCGCGAGGCACGCCTCAAGAAGATTGGCCGGCCACCACCGAGCGCCGATGTCGACTCGCCCGAGGCGGCCGAGGCCATCATGAAGGCACACGCCGCCGCGGCAGAGGGTGCCGAGGCAGACGAGGCCGCTGCCGAGGACCCGATCAAGAAGGCCGCCGAGGCCGGGCAGAGGGCGGCGAGCGAGAGCGCAAAGCAGGCCGCCGCCGAGGACGCCGGAGGCGACGCCTCGTCCGCACCGTCCTCGTCGTCGGCGCCCGGCGCCGCCAAGCCGCGGCCGCAGGGCTTTGCGGTCCGCGTGCGCGCCGTGACTGAAAACAGCGAGGCGGGCCAGGCGCTGGTGCTGCGGCCGGAGCCGGCGTACAAGCAGGCGTGGTCGTCGTTCAAGTCGTCGAACCCGCTGATGCGCAAGCTGGGCGAGATGCGCGAGGCCTACGACGAGTCCGAGAACCCGGTCGTGGAGCGGGTCCGCGGCGTTACCGAGTGGATCGGCGGGCTGTTTGAGGAAAACGAGTTCGCGCGGGTCACGCGGACCATGAAGACGCTCGACCCGTCGTTTTCGATGGAGAGCTTCACGCGGGAGCTGCGCGAGTACGTGGTGCCCGAGATCATCGACGCCTACCACGGCGCGCAGCGGCACCTGCTGCGGCAGTGGTGCGGCGAGGCGACGTTCAACCTGCTCATGGCCACCGTGGACCCGTACCTGACCAAAGGCTACCTGCCCGAGGGCCGGCTGCTCGACCTCAAGGGCATCGAGATCCTCCAGGCCAAGATGCTCGAGAACAACGTGGCGGTGCTCGTGGTGAGCTTCACCAGTCAGGAGCTCATGTTTTTCAAGGACCCCAAGACGGGCGAGGTGGCGGCGGGTAGCGCCGACCGCGCCGAAATGTGCCGCTACGCCATGGTCCTCACCCGGCTCGAAGAGGAGCTCGACAACGAGATCACTGGAGGATGGAAGGTGGTCGAGGTGAGTGCCCGTGATGGCGGCTGTAGGTCCGAGGCGTGTCGCTCTCGAACCCGTTCTGACCCTGGCCCTTTGTCCTCGTTCTTCTCGTCGTCGTCCCTCGTCGTTGGCTTTGCCTGCCACTCGCACAGCTCGCAAGGAGGGGACAGGCCGCCTACCTCTAGGTCGGTGTCGCTGTTGGCCCCGACTGACCGTATTGCCCCAGTCTCGCTGCGTCCGAGGACTGCTGCACCACATACACCTCTCTATAGCATGCGCTGTCGCCCTGGCCTGTGCTGTGATTCGAGTCTGTCTCGCCGCCGTGTCGCCTGTCGGATGGCGAGAGAGAGAGAGAGAGGAGGGGGATCGTGGCCGTGGTCGTGTGGGCCTGGCCTGGCCTCTGACCTGCCCGAAATCCGGGGCGCGAGCTGAGGGGTCGAGTCAGAGAGAGTTGGCCCGCGCTCGGGTGGCCCCGGTGACCTGCAGGTCGCTGCTGCCCGCCTGCCGCGCCGCTCTCACCCTACTTTCTTCCAACCCCGGCATCGTCGTCGCCGTCACCATCTCCACCACCATCTCGCCGCTGCCCCACTGTCCCCTCTTCAATCCAACTTGAAGCCAGGGGCTCGCCCTCAACCTCTCGTTTCTCCAACAGGAACCTCGCCCTCGCCCTCGCCCTCGCCCTCGCCCTAGCTCTCTTCCCCCACTCCCACTTCCTTTTCGGCCCCCCCCACCCCTGCGCCTCACCTGCCCAACGCTTGCCCGCCAGCCATGTCGCGCAGCTTCACCATCAAGGTGCCGTGCACCTCGTCCAACATCGGACCGGGCTTTGACGTCGTCGGCCTCTCGCTCTCGCTCTACCTCACCCTCAGGGTCAAGGTGGATGCGAGCGCCGACAACGCGGCGCCCACGCTCGCCTACACGGGCACCGGCGCCTCGGACGCCCCCCTGGACCCGTACAAGAACCTGACGACGCGCACCGCCCTCTACGTGCTGCGCTCCAACGGCGTCTCGCACTTTCCGCGCGGCGTGTCGATCGACGTGCACAACCAGGTGCCCTTTGGGCGCGGCCTGGGCTCGTCGGGCGCCGCCGTCGTGGCGGGCCTGCTGCTCGGCAACACGCTCGGCAACCTCGGCCTGTCCAAGGACCGCCTCCTCGACCACGCCCTCATGATTGAGCGACACCCGGACAATGTCACGGCGGCGCTCATGGGCGGCTTCGTGGGCAGCTACCTCCTCGAGCTCTCGCCCGAGGACCGCGAGGCAAAGGACGTACCCCTCTCCGAGGTGCTGCCCGAGTACCCGCCCGACGCCGGCGAGGGGTGGGGCGCCAACCCGCCCTCGCCGCCGCGCGGCATCGGCCACTACATCCGCTTTGGCTGGGCGCCCGAGATCAAGGTCATCGCCATCATCCCGCACTTTGAGGTGTCGACGGCCAAGGCGCGCGGCGTGCTGCCCGACACCTACTCCAAGTCGGACCTCATCTTTAACCTGCAGCGCCTCGCCGTCCTCACAACGGCCCTGACGCGCAGCCCGCCGGACCCCTACCTCATCTTCCAGGCCATGCAGGACAAGGTGCACCAGCCCTACCGCAAGGGCCTCATCCCCGCCCTGCCCCAGATCCTCGCCAGCGTCACCCCCGCCTCCCACCCGGGCCTCCTCGGCATCTGCCTCAGCGGCGCGGGACCCACCATCCTCGCACTCGCCACCGACAACCAGCAGAAGATCGCAGACACCATCTGCGACCAGTTCAAGATCGAGGGCATCACCTGCGACGTCGAGTTCCTCCAGGTCACAAACGACGGCGCCGTCGTCGTCGACGGCGATGAGCAGTAGAGAGCAGGTGTGCCCGCACGGGAGACGGCGGCGCCAGACCGAAATTGAACATAGACCCCAGCCCACCTCGCATCGCGATGATCGTACACGCCCGCCGCCCTCGAGCGCCAAAAAGGAGCCCAGCAGAGATTGCACCGGCAGCAGCAGCAGCAGCTGCGCCAGCAGCATAAGTACTAACGACCGGGCCCCACCAACCCGACGCCGACCTTGGACGCCTCGCCGTTCACGGCACCGCCGCTGCCGCCGCGTTTCAGCAGCGAGGCCATGGTGCTCTGAAACTCGCGGAAGTCGTCGTCGGTCGGGTTGCAGAACAGCTCGCCCGTGTCGTAGACGTACACCTTGCCGTCGGCGCCGCCCACGGCGATGCGGCGCCCCTCTTTGCGGTCCCACGCCAGCTTGTTGACTGCCCGTCCCGTCGGAATCGTTGTCGTCTGGTACGGGCGCTGCAGAGGTCAACAGGCGGGATGGAGCAGAAGGGGCAGAGAAGCAGGGGGAAGAGGATGTTGAAGGGTCAGCTCGTCGGCACAGCCGCAAAGGCAGGCAGGCAGGCAGGCGGGCAGGCAGGCAGGCGGGCAGGCAGGCAGGCGGGCAGGCACGGCCGCTGTAGCCTCGACGTACCTCGGTGTCAATGTTGAGGTTGTATACGTCGAGCCGCCCGCTGCCGTCGACCTGAGCAAAGACGGCGGGGTGGTAGGGGTGCCACTTGACGTCGTAGACGTAGTCCGACGACTCCTCGAAGCTCAGCACGGGCTCGAGGTCGGCCATGCTCGCCGCCGACGACGGATCCGCTGCCCGCATCGACGCTGCTGCCGCCATCGAAGACGAGCCGCCTGCTGCTGCTGCTGCTGCCGCCGCTGCCGCCGACGAAGCCGCTGCCGCCGTCGCCGCCGCCGCTGCCGACGACGACGACGACCCTGCTGGTGCCATCGACGGGGTCGCGGCGCCGGCGCCCGTGCCCTTGACGACGGCGTTGCCGCCCTTGACGCGCCACAGCTTGGCGGTCCAGTCCATCGACGACGTGATGAACAGGTCGGAAAAGTCGACGGCGCCGCTGAGCGGGTGGAAGTCGAGGCCGGTGATGGGCGCCGCGTGGCCGCGGTAGACTTCGGCCGTGTTGAGGCCGGCCTTTTGCGACGCGCGGTCGTAGCGCGAGGCCGGGTAGACGTTGCCCTCCTCGGTGCCGATCCAGAAGCTGGCCGTCTCCTGGTCCGGGAAGGCCAGGGCGGTGACGCCCACCTCGTCCGTCTTTGGGTGCGACGGCTTGACGAGGAGCATCGTCTCCTGGGGCGAGGCGAGCATGTCGAGCGTCCAGGAGCACACGTTGCCGTCGGTCGAGGCCGAGACGAGGTTGTGGGCGTTTTGGGTGCCGACCAGGTTGAGGGCGTAGACGGGGTGGGTGTGGCCCGCCGCCGAGAGGGGCGTCTTGAGCACGGGCAGGGCGCGGGCGCGCGTGTCCCAGATGAGGATCTGACCCGAGTAGGTGCCGCCGATGACGAGGTTGGGCTGGAAGGGCGAGAAGCGCACCGACAGGACATCGGTCTGGGCGTGGAAGGTAAACTCGGGCCGCTCGCGCAGGTGCAGGTTCCACACGGCGACGAGGCCATCGGGGTCGTCGTTGGCCATGTCATTGCGGTTGTAGCTGGCAACGCACAGCTCCGGGTGCTGCGTCGACCAGTCGAGGTCGGTGATGCTGCGGTTGGCAAAGACGCGGTCGTCGCCAAAGGTGCGGACGAGGCGCAGCTGGCGCCCCTCGTGGACCTGCTCGAGGCCGTCGCCAGTGACGGTGTAATCCTTCATATAGTCGTAGGTGTCGGCCAGGGCGCGCTCGACAATCTTGGAGCTGTGCTCGACAAACTCGGAAAAGTCCGAGGCGCCGTAGATGGCGAGGCGCTCGTCGTCGGTGAGCTCGCGCAGCTGCTCCTCGATCTCGCGCTCCAGCTTCTCCTCTTCGCGCCGGCTCGCCGCCTCGTCGGCCTGCTCTTGGAGGATCTTGGCCCGGATGGCCTCCTCGGCCTTGGCGTCGCGCGCCTCGGACCCCACGCCGCCCGCCGCTTCCAAGGCGCCCCCACCGCGCCCACCGCCGGCGGCCTCGTCGTTGTCGCCGTCAAAGGTGGCGGTCTGTACCTCCTTTGTATAGTATACGCGCTCGCGCTGCGGGAACTCGAACAGCTCCGTCTCGACGTCGATGAGCTCCGGGACAAAAGCTGGCGCCGCGGGCGTCGGTATTGTCGACGAGAAGCTGCCGAGGCGCGGCGGTGGACAAGAGGGGCAGGCGAAGAGCTGATCGTCAGCGCGCGCTGGTCGGGGGCTCGAGTCGACATTCAAGTCGATGAAAGGCACCATGACAAGCTCACCCATCGCGGTGGACGGCGGTGCTGCCGCTGATGGCCGTGGGCGCTGCGCCCGCCGCCTCGGCCTCTGAGCCACCAAACTCGCTGGATGCCGGGCCGACGGCGCTCTTTCCGGGCGAGGCGGGTGAAAAGTCGGAACCTACGAGCGAGGATCTCTGGGTGCGGTTGAGTGTGTTTGCATTGACGAGCGACGAGACGAGGTCGTCGAGGTCCTTGCGCGAGGTCGGCGTATCGGACTGCAGTGCGTGAGCGCAGGAGATGCGAAGGAGGGCCAGGCCGCCCGGCAAGGTAGGTGAGCGACGAGCCCTCTACGGGAAATCCAGGAGGAAGCCTCCTCTGACGAGGGCGCGCCCGCCCGACTCACTCTGCTCTGACTCCAGCCGCCTGCCGCTGACGACGACGAGGGGTTGGCGGCGAGACGCTGTTCACGCTCTAGGCGTGCGCGCTTGAGCTCTGCGAGTTTTGCGCGCTTGGCCTCGATCTCGGCCTTGCGTCTCGACTCGCCGATGTACGACATGGTGAGGACGGCGGCCGGCCTAGCTGAAAGGAGGGGAAAGGAGAAGACGGGGAGTGTGAGGGTAAGGAATGAAGGCAAGGCAAGGCAAGGTGGCGGGTGCAGAGGCGGACAGCTCAGCCCAGGCCAGGTGTTGGTCGGTGCGTGGGTGCGTGGGTGCGTGGGTGCGTCGGCCCACCCACGCCGTGCCTCGCGGTACGTGTTGCTCTCTGGCGCCTGCCATGGGCAATGGGCACGGCCGCGGCCAGCGGAACCGGAAGCGACGCAGGGCCTGGCCTGGCCTGGCCTGGCCTGGCTGCCGAGCGCGCCACGCCAAAGCCTCGCCTCTGGCCTGCCTGCAGACCTCGGCGGCTTTGTCGAGTCGCAACCGCCGCCCTTTCTTCCCACCACCACAACTACCACCAACGCTGCCATACTCGACATTTCATTCGGCGAGGAAAGCATCGCTGCTCCTCCGCCCCTCTCCCACTGCGCCCGCCATGCCGCCCAAAAAGGTCTCGCTGCCGCCCAACCCTCCACCAGACCCCTCCCAGAGCCTCCCGCTCGCCTACTCGACCTTCTTCCCCGTAGCCCCCCTCAACGCCAAGAACGTTTCCTCATCCTACCTGAAGACCGAGGCTCAGACCTGGATCAGCCGCTCCCAGGCCGCTCGCGACTCGCAACAGAACTCGGCCTCGCGTGGCAAGAAGCGCAAGCGCCAGGCCGCTGCAGCCGCCGCCGCCACCGCACAGGGCGCAGACGGCGATGACCCGGATCTTACCGCCGCCGGCATCGACGACGACGAGGGGGACAGCGAAGAGGAGGACGCGGAGGGAGAGCCCGGGAAACCTTCAGGCCCGGCTGCGAGGACCATCGTCATCCATCCGGGCTCCGAGTTCATCCGCGTCGGCAGAGCCACCGACCTCTACCCACTCACATTCCCCAGCGCCATCGCCAGACGGCCAAAGCTGCCACAGAAGCAGCAGGTACAGGCGTCGCAGCCATCCGCAGAGGCTGAACCGGCGACGGCTGCGCCGACAGACGGAGCAAATGGCGACGTCGGCGATGCCGCAGCAGCTGCTGCGCCGGCGGCCAACGGATCGGAGACCTCATCGGAGCAGCAGCAGCCCGATGAGGGCGACAAGCAGGACAGCGACTCGAAAGCGCCAAAAGCCGATGATGGTGACAAAGACGTCGACATGAACGCCAACGACGACGGCGACGGCGACGGCATCGAGACCCCAGAGCCGACAGAGGCGCCCGTCGAGGCGGCGGCGGCGGCCAAGGGCACCAGAAAGGGCCGGAAGAAGGATGCGCTCGACCAGGGCATCGACGGCATCCGCAACGAGCTGAGGAGCATCATGCGGCAGGAGAAGCTGCGGCCCGTCGGCAACGGCAAGGCGTTGGCCGCCAACTACAACGATGGCGTCAGCCCCGAAGACGTTCCGGAGCACAACGACTTTTTCGGCCTCGACTGGACCGACGACGACGCCGGGGGCGAGAACACGGTGCTGGTGGGCGAAAAGGCGCTGCGGTTGGCCAGCTTCTCGATGCCCATGACCGAGAAGCCCAAGCAGACGCGGCGGCAGGCGGCCGGCGGCAGCACGGCCACGGCCGAGCCCAAGCCCGATCCGCAGAGGCCGTGGAAGCTCTTCCGCCCGTTTCAGCGGGGCACCCTCGACCTCAACGCGTACGAGGAGCACTACGGGCCCTCGGCCGCCGTCCAGGCTCTGTTGGGCGACGTGCGCGCCATCCTCGAGCACGCCATCGCGTCGCCGCCCGAGGACCCCGACAGCCGGCAGGAGAGCGGCGAGGTCGTCGCCCACGGCCTCGGCATCCCGCACGACGAGTGGGAGGAGCACACCGTCATCCTGATCCTGCCGGACCTCTTCAGCCGCTCCGACCTCAAGGCGCTCGTCGAGCTGCTCCTCCAGGACATGGGCTTCGCCGGCGCCTGCGTCCAGACCGAGGGCGTCTGCGCCACATTCGGGGCGGGCCTCTCGACGGCTTGCGTCGTCGACCTCGGCGCCGAGCAGATCAGCGTGTCGTGCGTCGAGGAGGGGCTGGTGCTGCCGGACACGCGCATGGCGCTGTCGTACGGCGGCAAGGACATCTCGCAGTTCCTCGGCGAGCTCTTTGTGCGCGCCAAGTTCCCCTACCGCGAGATCGACTGGCAGGAAAATGTCGCCGACGCGCTGCTTCTCGACACGCTCAAGGAGCGCCTCGTCACCCTCAATCCGGCCGACGTCGGCCTCAACATCCACGACTTCTACCTGCGCCTGCCCGGCAGGCCCACGGTCAAGTACCTCTTCCGCACCTACGACGAGCTGATCCTCGGGCCCATGAGCCTCTTTGACCCGGACGTCTTTGCGCTCGACCGCAAGGAGATGCTCAAGGGCAAATTCCGCGCCGGTTACACCGACGAGCTGCCCATGGACGAGACCGTGGTCGAGGACGCGCCCGAGCTGGGCGTCGGCTACAGCGCCGACCTGCCTGTGACGACGGCGATGCAGAGCTGCGTCAAGCACCTCTTGCCTGCCCCTCCCCCGCCGCCTCCGCCGCCCGCCGCCGCTGCTGCTGCAGGCACTCCCGTCCCAGCGGCGACGGCCAACGGCGCTGCCGGTGCGAACTCTGTCGCCGGCTCTGCAGCAGCGGCAGGGCCACCGTCCGAGACGGCCACCCCAGCAGGATCGGCCCCTCCGCCGGACGTCAGTCCGGCCCTCAAACTCGAAGACGACAAGGCGCAGGCGGCCGATGCGAGCCGTACCGGCTCTCCTGCCACCAACGCACCTGGCGGCGGGGCGGCGGCGGCAGACTCTTCCACTCGTAA